TGTTTGACCAAATATAAACGGGCTAATATTTCAGTTGATAGTTTTGCATGGCCGGCGAATGACGTTACATACATATCCAAATGGCCCTTGGCAGACAAAAAAAAAGGTTACCGCACCCCTGCTGTAAAGAGATCCAGCACCGTGGGGATTGCGGAGGGTGAGCAGCAGCGGCGGCGGCGGCGGCGGCGGCGGCAAGGGTTGGTGGATCACTGCACGCAGATGTTGCGCAACCCCCGTTGGGTGTCAAGCAAGGCGGTACTCGGAAACATTTGGGGCGTCATCCGTGGGGGACAGTTGTTTGCCACCGCCGTCGCGTTGCGTGTGGGGGTTTCCCGTTGTCGGGCGCTCCGCTTTCCTGCCGGGGCGTAAACCGCTCAATAAGGCCTGGGAAAATATCTTTGCCATATATAGATAGGGGACGGCAGAGCTTGGGAGGATTGATCGGGGGGCCAGCGCTCAAACCCGAGTGCCTTCCGCCGCGCCTTCACCGCTCCTCCCGCGCGGGTTCGTTCCCCTCTCTACGCGAGAGCGGGAATCCGGATGACCGTGCGTCCGATGCGAGGTGCCCCGTCCCCCGTGTCGTCCCGTGTCTGCTCGTCCGACTCCGTCACGTGCTTGCTTCGCGAGCCGCCCAAAGTGTGGGTTTGGCACGGCGAAGGTACCGGGGGGGTGGACCGCTGGCCCAGCGGTCGGCACCGCTGGGCCAATATTGGCCCGACTACGCAAGAGTCGCGAGTCCCCGCGCCCGATTGGTCGGAGCGGAGGTCACGTGATCGCGGGGTTGTGGACGGCCGCCATTTTTTATTTTGTTATTTTTTTTGGTTTAAGGGCTTTAAACCAAAAGACGTCGCTGCTTGCGCATGAAATTAACTCTGGAAGTTGTGAATTGTGTATCGACAAATGTTCTCGGCCGGCCCCGGGACGATACCAAACAAAAAAAAGAGACGTCGACATCTTTTTTCAAGATTTTCTTCAGGCGCCTGGGATTTTTTGTCTCGGCGGGTTGAGACAACGGTTGCCATGACAGTAGTGGTAGTCGTGGCAACGACGACGAAGGCGAGGGCGATTTCGTAAATTCAAGTGTCTTTCTCAAACGAGTCGGTATGGGTCGCAGCAAAGCGACCTCCCAAAAATAAAATGTATTTTTTTTAAGAAAGCATCGTAAGGTCCAATACCATTGAAAGGAACAAACCAACAACAACAGCAATAACAATAACGCCGAATAATAATAATAATAATGGAGGATATTAACAACAACAAACAACCTGGCCTCGCACCTGCACACAGGTACGAACAACATTTTACTTTAATCATTACAAATCGTATCTCAACTTAAAAATCCTTCGCTGTGGTTTATGCACGCCGTGTGTAACTCCGTGCCTTACAAGTTTACGAACACATCCGTTTTTTTTTAGTGATTGCATCGTCTGGGCGAGGGAGGAAGGAGGGAGGGAAGGAAGGAGGCTTGGGATGGGCATGGAAGACTGTGATGGGAGGGAATGAGGGATTGATCGAGTGAGAGAATGAGGGATTGATCGAGTGAGAGAATGAGGGATTGATCGAGTGAGGGAATGAGTGATTGATCGAGTGATAGAATGAGGGATTGATCGTGTGAGGGAATGAGGGATTGATCAAGGGAGAGAATGAGGGATTGATCAAGTGAGGGAATGAGGGATTGATCGAGTGAGAGAATGAGAGATTGATCGAGTGAGAGAATGAGGGATTGATCGAGTGAGTGAATGAGGGATTGATCGAGGTGAGGGAATGAGGGATTGATCGAGTGAGAGAATGAGGGATTGATCGAGAGATGGAATGAGGGATTGATCGATTGAGTGAATGAGGGATTGATCAAGTGATGGAATGGGGGATTGATCGATTGAGTGAATGAGGGATTGATCGAGGTGAGGGAATGAGGGATTGATTGAGTGATGGAATGAGGGATTTTTCGAGGTGAGAGAATGATGGAATGAGGGATAAATCGAGTGAGTGAATGAGGGATTGATCGAGTGATGGAATGAGGGATTGATCGAGTGAGAGAATGAGAGATTGATCGAGTGAGTGAATGAATGAGGGATTGATCGAGTGAGTGAATGAGGGATTGATCGAGTGATGGAATGAGGGATTGATCGAGTGAGAGAATGAGGGATTGATCGAGTGAGTGAATGATGGATTGATCGAGTGATGGAATGAGGGATTGATCAAGTGATGGAATGAGGGATTGATCGAGTGAGGGAATGAGGGATTGATCGAGTGAGGGGAGTGAGGTATTGATCGATTGAGTGAATGAGGGATTGATCGAGTGATGGAATGGGGGATTGATTGAGTGAGGGGAGTGAGGTATTGATCGAGTGATGGATTGATCGAGTGAGTAAATGAGGGACGATCGAGTGATGGAATGAGGGATTGATCGATTGAGTGAATGAGGGATTGAAGGAGGGGGAGCGAGGGGGAGGAGCGAGAGGGGGGGGGGGCGAGAGGGGGGGGGCGAAAGGGGGGGGGGGCGAGAGGGGGGGCGGGGCGAGAGGGATGTGGGGGGAGCGAGAGGGGGGGGGGAGCCCTCTAGCCGAGGTAGCAAACGGGTCCCAGCTGGAAGCCAAACTGCTGCCCAGGGCCTCCGAGATCCCCGGGCATGAGGTCAGCGATGGGCAGCTGCTCCACGTGCGGGGTGGAGACCTCCAGCACCGTGCGGCCCTCGCCCCTCCGCTCCTACGCCGCACGGGGGGTGCACACGGCACGCCACACCATCACCGCACCATCACCGCACCATCACGGCACCATCACGGCACCATCACCGCACCATCACCGCACCATCACCGCACCATCACCGCACCATCGCGGCAGGCCACACCATCACGAAACCATCACCGCACCATCACGGCACCATCACGGCACTATCACCGCACCATCACAGCACCATCACGACACCATCACAGCACCATCATAGCACCATCACGACACCATCACGGCACCATCACGACACCATCACGGCACCATCACCGCACCATCACGACACCATCACGACACCATCACGACACCATCACGGCACCATCACCGCACCATCATAGCACCATCACGGCACCATCACCGCACCATCAAGACACCATCAAGACACCATCACCGCACCATCACCGCACCATCACCGCACCATCACAACACCATCACCGCACCATCACAACACCATCACGACACCATCACGGCACCATCACGACACCATCACCGCACCATCACTGCACCATCACAACACCATCACCGCACCATCACCGCACCATCACGACACCATCACCGCACCATCACGACACCATCACCGCACCATCACAGCACTATCACCGCACCATCACCGCACCATCACGGCACCATCAAGACAGACCACTCCATCACGACACCATCACGGCACCATCACCGCACCATCACCGCACCATCACAGCACCATCACCGCACCATCACCGCACCATCACCGCACCATCACCGCACCATCACGGCACCATCACCGCACCATCACCGCACCATCACCGCACCATCACGGCACCATCACGGCACCATCACGGCACCATCACGACACCATCACCACACCATCACGGCACCATCAAGACAGACCACTCCATCACGACAGGCCACAGCATCACGACACGTCCCAACACGGAGTGGTAAGGGTAAGGGATGACTGAGCACATGTCCAGGAGCCTCCACGTGTCACCCGTTGCACGTGTGCGCTATCGCTGGCAACTTTGCATCTCCCCTCCAACATTTCAAACAAAGACAAAGATCCCCCGCGTAGCCTTAACAGACTGTTGGGGCAAGTGCCGTTAGCGAGGGTGGTTGGGTGGTCAGCACCCCGGCGGCGATGTTTACTAGACACCGCGCCAGGTACTCATTTGAGGCCGAGTCGACCTAGCGGGGTGAGGCCCGGGACCGGTTCAGATAATCGTCACCGGGTGTTGGCGGTGAGCGGGGATGGATCTCGCGTCGCCGGGTTCGTAGCGCGGCGTAGCGGCAATCGCCACTGCACCGCGCTCGTAACATGTCAAACACACGCACGCAACATGTCAAACATACGCACGCAATATGTCAAACATACACGCACGCAATATGTCAAACATACACGCACGTAACATGTCAAACACACGCACGCAACATGTCAAACATACACGCACGCAACATGTCAAACACACGCACGCAACATGTCAAACACACGCACGTAACATGTCAAACACACGCACGTAACATGCCAAACACACGCGCGCGCCACGTGTCAAACACACGGCCCAACCGTCCCGACGCACGATCCCCGCGAAAGCGGCAACGTCGGGACTCGGCGAGCCTTTCCCTCCGAGGGGGGGGGGAGGGAGTCCTACTCACCGAGCACCCGTCGTGCAGCGCCCGTACGTAGGGGCTCGTGTCGTGCGAGATCTCCTCGTCGTTGGCCGCGAGCATCCGCACGGAGCGAGCGTGCGGAGAGCCGGCCCCGCCGCGCGCGTCCACCCACGCCACGGCGTCTCGGCACAGGTAGGTGACGTTCTGCCGGGCCGACGAGCTCAGCAGCCGCAGGAACGTCATCTGCACCGCGCCCACGGGCCTGCCGTCCAGGTCCACGTAGGAGAGCTAAAGGGGGCGGGGGGGGAGGAGAGGGTTGTCATCGTCGTCACGGTCGCGGTGGCGCGTGTAGTGTACGTGTGGACGTTCAACTTCTTTCGCTCCAACCGTGCTGATCGGAGGTGCAGTGTTGAGTCTATGGTGCAGTGTTGAGTCTATGGTGCAGTGTTGAGTCTATGGGCAGTGTTGAGTCTATGGGCGGTGTTGAGTCTATGGGTGGTGTTGAGTCTATGGGCGGTGTTGAATCTATGGGCGGTGTTGAGTCTATGGGCAGTGTTGAGTCTATGGGCGGTGTTGAGTCTATGGGCAGTGTTGAGTCTATGGGCAGTGTTGAGTCTATGGGCAGTGTTGAGTCTATGGGCAGTGTTGAGTCTATGGTTGGTGTTGAGTCTATGGGTAGAGTAACATCCCGATTTCTGACAACCTGAAAACAGTACTGGCTAAAGGAATACATTTTGCTGTCACCCCTAAACATATACCAGTAGAGGATATCATCTCTCAGGTTGATGTAGCCCTCAAAGGTATAGGACACATCCAAGCAGACGTTGCGAGAGCTGAGATAGCCACTATCCTTAAAAATGCTAAGAAACCCACTAGCAACATCAGCAAAAACGAGCGATATGAACTCGCGAATAAAAAAAAAGAGAGATGATATAGTCATCCTCTCGGCCGACAAAGGCAATGCCACTGTCATTATGGATAAAAACTCATACAACAACAAAATCCAGGACCTACTCAATGATGGGAGTTACTCAAAAATAAAAAATAAATATCCTAACGATAAAAACCAACAAGATCATCACTAGTTCGACGTCCCTAATCGAACCAACCAAACGTCCCTCCCTAAAACCCTCCGCTGCAAGACCTCCCAGATTCTATGGTCTTCCCAAGATCCATAAAGAAGGTACCCCACTACGACCCATCGTGTCCACGATCAACTCCCCTACCTACAAGCTAGCCCGCTTTCTGTCAGATACTCTGCTTCCCTTCACTGGCAAGACCACCTCAGCAGTACTTAACTCAACCCAATTGGTTTCTATGGTCAAAGACATTGTACTATCTCCTGACGATATCCTCGTCAGCTTTGATGTGGTCTCTCTGTTCACCAAGGTCCCAGTACCTGATACCATAACAATAATTGAAGATTTGGTCCAATATGGACTGAACCCAGAGGTACCTGTGCTGGCTAGGCACTGCCTCACCAACACCTACTTTACTTGGAATGGCACCTTCTACAAACAAAATGAGGGTACCCCTATGAGCTCCCCCTTGTCACCAGTGATAGCCAATGTTTTCATGGAGAAATTCGAATCAGACGCCATCCAAACATCCACCCTTCGCCCTTCCCTATGGAAGAGATATGTGGATGACACTTTCGTCATTTGGCCACATGGCCTCCCAGCATTGAACCATTTCCTAGACCACATTAATTCCAGACACCCATCCATCAAATTCACCATGGAAGTGGAGAAAGATGGCAAGCTGCCATTCTTGGATGTTCTGTTTGAGAGGAGGACTGATGGATCTTTGGGACAATCTGTTTACAGGAAGTCCACCCACACAGACTCCTACTTGAAGCCTGAGTCCCACCACCACTCGACTCAAAAGAACTCTCTCATCAAAACGTTATACCATAGGGCCCATTGCATTTCGAACCAACACCACCTGGCCAGTGAATTAAAACATGTACATCTGGCCCTCAAGATGAACGGATACTCTGACCGTACCATCCGCCAAGCTGTTTCTCCCTCCATACAGAAACAACCACTTGAGACTCCGATCAAAATCATCACGTTACCATACATAGCAGGCGTTACTAAAAATATATCCAAAATTCTTAACAAACACAAGATCCAGGTCTGGTTCAATACAATACACAAAATCTGTGATCTGATCCCATCCGTGAAGGATGTCATCCCTGACTTACAGTAACCCGGTGTTTACAAATTGAGTTGTACCTGCGGTGAATGCTATATCGGGGAGACGAAACGACATATTTGTAACCGAATCCGCGAGCACAAATCAGATTTGAAACACGGCAGAACGAATTCTTCGGCCGTGGCTGATCAATGTTTCAACACAGCGGGTTCTCATGACATTGTGTTCTCTGATACTAAAGTTATCTGCAAACCTCCCGGTTATTACCAAAGATTTGTCCATGAAGCCATCCAGATATACAAACATAGACACAACTTCAACCGAGAGGATGGTTTCAAATTGAGCAAGCACTGGAAAGATGTTATAAATCAAGTCAAACGTTAGCTGCCTTTTAATTGTACAGCCATTTCCACTTCTCAGTGGTTTTGTGTCAAACTTTAGCTACCTTATAATTTTACAGCCAATTTCGTAGTTTTCATTTTAGGTTTAAAAAAATTGGTGTTTACTTGATGTCTTGCATCGCATCCCCCCGAAACCCCCCTGCAGCATAACAAAAGGGTTGTTTACCCGCTTTTGTGCAGTTTAACAAAAGGCGGCTTAACTCAGCCCTCCCACCCACCCACGTCCCTTTCTGGCTCCTCCCCCCCCTCTGACCTATATATAATCCAAGTCGTCTCGGAACTGTGCACTTGACACAGATATTCTGCTGTGACTGTTCCACCTGAAGACGGAAGCTTGTGTTGCCTCAGAAACGTCGTGATTTAATTGTTCTCTTTTATTTTATTTTACCTACGTGACTTTACCGAAAAAAACCAAAAAGTATCTATGGGTAGTGTTGAGTCTATGGGTAGTGTTGAGTCTATGGGCAGTGTTAGTCTATGGGTGAGTGTTAGTCTATGGGCAGTGTTAGTCTATGAGCAGTGTTAGTCTTTGGGTAGTGTTGAGTCTATGGGCAGTGGTAGTCTATGGGCAGTGTGAGCCTATGGGCAGTTCATAATGAAGCCTACGTGTTAAACCCTATGGGCAGTGTTGAGTCTATGGGCAATGTGAGTCTATGGGCATTGTTAGTCTATGGGCGGTGTTGAGTCTACGGGTAGTGTTGAGTCTATGGGCAGTGTTGAGTCTATGGGCTGTAAGTATGTCTGTAGAACTTAATTCGCGCCGTACGTAGCCAACTGCACTAATCATCGGAGGTGCGGGGGGGGGGGCAACAAGCTAGACGCAGCTCTAAAGAAATTGGTTTTCAATTAGTGCAGTGATTCGCGCGAAGTGCAGCTGTATAGTTGTACCGCGTGAACTTCTTTTGGCACCGTACGTAGTCAACTGGGCTAATCGGAGGTGTGCAGCGGCGGGAGGGGGGGGGGAAGGTACACGGTGGCAGTACGGCCAGCACCACGCCCGGCCGCCTTTGTCTCCCTAGAGGCAATGCGTGCACGCCGCACACAAGCCACTCAGTTGAGGCTGAGTCGACCTAGGGGGGTGTTGGCCGCGTCCCTACCGCCGCGCCTCCATCGATCCGCTCGGGGTCTGTGCAGTCATCGGCGCGGAGGGGGCGGTGGTGAGTGGATGGGCGAGCTAGAAGGCCTAATTAATTTTTCCTTCATTTTCCGTTAATGGGGATGTGCGTGTGTGTGTGGGGGGGGGGCTAATTAGGATTGATTTTGACTCCATGACCTCATAACCCCGCCCCCCCTCCCCTTCCCCTCCGCTGTACCGACACCGCCCGACGCTCACCGCCACCACCGTAATTGGTTATCGACCGCCAGAGAGGCGACGTCCACAAGACGTAATTGGTGGCGACCGGCGGATAGCCGGAGCAGAGGAGGAGGAGCGGCGTGGTGGGGGGGGGGCACTGCTTGCTGTGCCCCCGCCGTGGTCAATTGATCAACAAATCGATGGTGGGGGGAGGGGGTGGGAGTCGGGGGGGGAGGTGGTGGTGGTGGGGGGGGGGGGGGAGGTGGTGGTGGGCGGGAGGAGGTGGTGGGGAGGAGGTGGTGGGAGTGGGGGAGGCAGCGGTGGTGGTGGGGGGGGGGGGAGGCAGTGGTGGTGGGGGGAGGGGGGGGAGGCAGCAGTGGTGGTGGGGGAGGGAGTCGGTGGTGGTAGTGGGGGGGGGGAGGCGGTGGGGGGGGTGAAAAGACCGGGGCGTCAGCTCATTAGCGAGTCAGTAATTGAGCGATTCGGACGCAATTTGGCTGTGATGTTTGCCGATAACTCTTCAGCGCACGGCAACCAAAATCTGTGCGTGTGGGAGACAGCGGGGGGGGGGGGGGGGGCAGCAAAGGCCCCCTTGCCCACGAATTAAGGGACAAACCAAATTAGAACTGGAGAGTTATTTTTATTTCGTGCTGTCATTGGTCACTGGGCTGAGACCATCAACGCACTCGACTTGAGAACCCGGTTTCATCGCAACTCGGTCTGTGCGAGTCTATGGGTCTCTCTGTGAGTCCATGGGTCTCGGTGTGAATCTATGGGTCTCTATGTGAGTCTATGGGTCTCTGTGTGACTCTACGGATCTGTGTGAGGAGTCTATGTGTCTCCGTGCAAGTCTAAGGATCTCTGTGCGAGTCTGTGGGTCTCTGGGTGAGTCTAAGGATCTCTGTGCGAGTCTATGGGTCTCTCTGTGAGTCCATGGGTCTAGGTGTGAATCTATGGGTCTCTATGTGAGTCTATGGGTCTCTGTGTGACTTTACGGATCTTTGTGAGGAGTCTATGTGTCTCTGTGCAAGTCTAAGGAACTCTGTGCGAGTCTATGGGTCTCTGGGTGAGTCTAAGGATCTCTGTGCGAGTCTATGGGTCTCTCTGTGAGTCCATGGGTCTAGGTGTGAATCTATGGGTCTCTGTGTGAGTCTGTGGGTTTCTGTGTGACTCTACGGATCTGTGTGAGGAGTCTATGTGTCTCTGTGCAAGTCTAAGGATCTCTGTGCGAGTCTATGGGTCTCTGGGTGAGTCTAAGGATCTCTGTGCGATTCTATGGGTCTCTTTGTGAGTCCATGGGTCTCTGTGTGAGTCTAAGGGTCTCTGTGCTAGTCTAAGGGTCTCTGTGTGAGTCTATGGGTCTCTATGTGAATCTACGGATCTGTGTGAGGAGTCAATGGATCTCTATGTGAGAAGTCTTTGGGTCTCTGTGTGAG